ATAATGACACATCAGACCTCGTCATCATAGTCACAATCACATTAATCACATAGGTGACTTATACTACCCACAGTCGACACCTGTAAAGCATCAGCTGAATAAACTGACTGCTTGGACTATGCCAAATTACACAATTGCCCTCCTGTGTTAGAAATCTTGACCCCAATATTAGTTTGTTTTGAAGATAACAAATATTATATGTTGTGTGTATTATGTGCTAACATTTGTTTTACAGTATCAGAGCTATATCAACAAATATTATATGTTGTGTGTATTATGTGCTAACATTTGTTTTACAGTATCAGAGCTATATCAACAATTATATTCAAAGAGATACTCAAGACATAGATGAGTTCAAGGCAAAATGAAGCAAAGAAGAAGATATAGTATTATTGTCAAAATGTAAATTTATATTTTCTTTGCTTAAAAATTTGTAAAAGCCTTGATCACTCACACACATGTACACACATAGTATTAGAACACACTAACACATGCTTAGTGTGTTGGTTAACAATAGAAATCCACTATGTTAGCCATTAGAGGTTATAGATATTGAGTGAGTCTTAAAACATTTCATTTATACCCCTTAGAAATTAGAATATGAAAAAACTCAAAAGACCAAAGTTGTAGGTCTTTTCAACAGATTTCCAACAAATCTTAAATTACCTCATTCCGATGTCGGATGAGAAAGTTACAGCAAAAATACTAAAAACATAATTCCAGAATCTTTGAGTTTACAGTGTAGTCGACTACTATGCCTTGTAGTCGACTACTAAGCAATTTTCTGACTTCATAGAGTCTGTTTAGACTCAGTGTAGTCGATTACTATGACTTGTAATCGACTACAGATGTAGTTTTTTCAGATTTCAAGTTTTAAATAAGTGACTGTTTATAGCCGTTTTGTGGACATTAATTGGGTTTAAAATTATGTCATTTCAGAGGCTATAAATAGGTTTAAACATCAGAAAACAAGCACCAAGTTTTGCACTTGTAAGATTCACATATTGTGCAAATTAACTCTCTAAACTTTTAGTTTTTCGATCTGGTTTTCCATAAAAGAGAGTTTTTGATATTGCCTTTGCTCCTATCATTCTTAGAGCTTGTTTAGGCAATATTCAAAGAGTTAAAAGATTGATAAGCCACGGTTACACGTTCACATTCACATCAAGGCTTATAGGATTGGAATTGTACATTGATTCAAGGAATGTTCTCTCAGGTTTGAGAGGGTTGATCTCTTGGTCTAGAGATCAGTGTGACGATTGACATGGTCTTGTCAATTGGGTTGCAATTTGCATGGTCTTGTAAATTGGTCAGGTTTACTTTTGATTTTGTAAGGTTTCAAAATCGTAGTAGAAACTCTCAAGCGGGATTTGCTTGAGGACTGGATGTACACCGGGGAGGTAGAAGCAGTATACATGTTTGTGTTTGTGATGTTCACTTTCTGAGATTGTCATTCTTTCTTTGCACTTTATGATCTACTTTGCAAACTCACCCTCTAGTGTTTAAATGTAAAGCTTCCGCAGATTTATAAGGGAACGTTCTATTCTTAAGGGTCACGATCCTACACTTGCTATACATAAGTAAAAACAGGACCTTACATTTGGTATCAGAGCAAGGTTGAAGAAATAGCATCAACTTCCGACTCAAACTCAAAATTCAAGGAAGGACATTCTACAAATCGTCCACCAATGTTTAATGGACTAAATTACAATTATTGGAAGTGTCGGATGAAAATCTATCTCCAATCAATTGGCTACGAACTTTAGAACGTTGTGAAAACAAACTACGAGAAGCCAACTACTCCTTTCGTGGAGTGGACTACATCTCAAAGGAACAATACAAATTTGGATTTTAAAGCAATGAACGCCTTGTTCTGTGCTCTTGACAAGAATGAGTTTAACAGGGTGTCAATGGCCACATCTGCATATGACATTTTGCACACACTCAAGGTAACTCATGAAGGCAAAAGTAAGGTTAAATAATCTAAAATTTCTGTTCTTGTACACAGATTCGAATTGTTTAGAATGAAGGAAAATGAGACCATTGGAGAGATGTTTACAAGGTTTACCGATATCACTAATTCTCTCATCGGTCTTGGAAAAGTATACACTCAAGTGGAGATGGTGTGAAAGATACTTCGTTCACTTACTCCACAATGGGAAAAGAAAGTTACCATAATAGAGGAAGCAAATGACTTGTCAACTCTTACGGTAGAAAATCTAATTGGTAACCTCATGGCTTATGAAGTTTAAATTGAAGATAGAAAGAATGAGGATGAAACAAAAAACAAGAAAGTGCTTGCATTCAATACTACTTCCGATAAAAAAGATTCGGATGATGATGAAGAAATGAGCATGTTTGCACACAAGTTTCGAAAGTTCATGAAACAAGGTAAGTTCAAATCAAAAAATTCAAATTCAAATAACTTATTTTGTTTCAAATGTAACAAACCAGGACATATGAAGAAGGATTGTCTATTGTTGAAAAATAAGCAAAAATCAAATTATTTCAACAACTTCAACAATATTCAAAGTAACAAGAAAATGAAGGTTTTGGCGACTACATGTGATGATAATGATGATTCGTCTTCGGATGAAGAAATCGAAGAAAAGGAAAGCGCCCATATGTGTTTTATGGCACAAGATGAAGTAAGTGACAATGAAGATCTTTTAGATGCTTTCAATGAATTATATGAAACATTTTTGAGATTAAAGGCTTCACATAATTTTCTTAAAGGTGAAAATAAAAGAATACTTGAAGAAATTTCTGATTTTAATTCTTCTACTATTTCTAATTCTCAAGTAATTGAATTGAAAGAGGAAAATAAATCATTGCTTAAAGAAAATCATATTTTGACTAATGAGAATGTTTATCTAAAATCAGAATGCAATGATTTAAAAATTCGCATCAATGTTTTAGATAAAGATATTTCTTCTATTAAATTAAATTATGATGATATATGTTCGAATGTTAGTAAATTCAATAAAGGTAAAGAGAATTTGAATAATTTGCTCTCATTTCAAAAATCTTCAAACAATCATTTTGGCATTAGATTTGTTCCTAAGTATTTTACAAAGAATGATTATGTTTTGAATAATAATAATCAGAATATTCATGCTAAACAAAATAAGTATATATGGATTCCTAAGAATTTGAATATTCATGATAGGAATGATTATATTTCATCTTATATGTATGAAGTTTGCAATTCAAAGAATTACACTTATTTTAATAAATGGAAACCAAATTCCAAGTGGATTTGGATTTCTAAGGGCTAATCCTAATGATATAATATGAAAGGATACCAAAGTGCTTAATATTTTTATTAAGGTACCCAGGAGAAGAAAATTTTAACTAGAATTATGTTTTTTTTTTGCTAATGACAAAGGGGGAGTTATATAGAAAATTTTAAATTTTTTACTAATGCTTTGATGCAGGGGGATAAAAGATTTTATTTAATAATTTCATGCAGGGGGATTAAAATTTTTATATTTTAATAACATATATTTGTCATCATCAAAAAGGAGGAGAATGTTAGGAATCTTGACCCCAAGATTAGTTTGTTTTGATAATAACAAAATATTATATATTGTGTGGATTATGTGCTAACATTTGTTTTACAGTATCAGAGGTATATCAACAATTATATTCAAAGAGATACTCAAGACATAGATGAGTTCAAGGCAAAATGAAGCAAAGAAGAAGATATACTTTATTGTCAAAATGTAAATTTATATTTTCTTTGCTTAAAAGTTTGTACAAGCCTTGATCACTCACACACATGCACACACATAGTGTTAGAACACACTAACACATGTTTAGTGTGTTGGTTAATAATAAAAATCCCCTATGTTAGCTATTAGAGTTTATAGATATTGAGTGAGTCTTAAAACATTTCATTTATACCCCTTAACAATTAGAATCTAAAAAAAACTCAAAAGACCAAAGTTATAGGTCTTTTCAACAGCTTTACAACAAATCTTAAATTACCTCATTCCGATATCGGATGAGAAAGTTACAGCTAAAATACTAAAAATAGAATTTCAGAATCTGTGAGTTTACAATGTAGTCGACCACTATGCCTTGTAGTCGACTACTAAGCATTTTTCTAACTTCACAGAGTCTGTTTAGACTCACTGTAGTCGACTACTATGACTTGTAGTCGACTACAGATGTAGTTTTTCTAGATTTTAGATTTTGAATAAGTGACTGTTTATAGCCGTTTTGTAGACGTTAATTGGGTTTAAAATTATTTTATTTCAGCTGTTATAAATAGGTTTAAACATTAGAAAACAAACACCAAGTTTTACACTTGTAAGATTCACATATTGTGCAAATTAACTCTCAAATTTCAGTTTTTCGATCTGTTTTTCCATAAAAGAGAGTTTCTGATATTGCATTTGTTCCTATCATTTTTAGAGCTTGTTTAAGCAATATTCAGAGAGTTAAAAGATTGATAAGCCACTGTTACACGTTCACATCCACATCAAGACTTATAGGATTGGAATTGTACATTGATTCAAGGAAGGTTCTCCTGTTACACGTTCACATCCACATCAAGACTTATAGGATTGGAATTGTACATTGATTCAAGGAAGGTTCTCTCAGGTTTGAGAGGGTTTAGGATTGGAATTGTACATTGATTCAAGGAAGGTTCTCTCAGGTTTGAGAGGGTTGATCTCTTGGTCTAGCAATTTTACTGTATGCAGCTGATGAATACAGTAAAATGCGCCTGTCCTACAACCGCAAAGTATATTACTATGTGAGCTCAGCAAATGTTAGCCTCTAAAAGTTGGGGACCGCCCCAAAAAAACCGCTGTACGCAAATTCCAATTGTGCTCAAATATCTGCAATGAAATGATCCAAAGGCTTCCGCCACAAGAAAAATAATACATGAAATACAAGGATAAAAAAGACAAAAAGAAAGGGGGTAAAAGAAAAGGGAAGAAGTCGGGGGTTAACACGCTCAAGCCCGTAACAGCAAGAACTACAAGATCAAGTATCGAGCAATTACGCACAACCCAGCATCTCCACATCTGCAAATCAACATTGAACCAAACCGAGTTGTTTTCCTCCTACACTCAAAACTTACATTATACATGACTGCACCACAAAAAAATTACAAGAAAAATGTGTTGCAGGTATGAATATCTATGATACAGGACATCATATAGGTCGTAAAGCTCAGATGCTATATTCACTCAACAGAGGAGAAACATGCGAAGTAACCACTCTCCAAAAGGGCGGGGGAAAGCCAAAACCGTAAAGAAAAGAATACCGAATACCTAAAAGGAGAAACCCGCAAATGGGTAACGGCAGAAGACACCATTATGCACAGGCCAACTTCTAAGGGAACTAATCAGGTAATTTCACAGACTGCATTCTATTCTACAATTGCATTTAAGAAGAAAAAACCGAACTCCCACCCGGGCCACCCCGAGCTGCTTCTTGCGACGGGAAGAGCTCCAGCCTGAAATAAATATATCTTCATCATGATTCTTCTTTCTGGAGCCTTGAAACCTTAGGGTCAAGACTATCTTCCCCCATCGTTGAGTATGATAACCCTTAGGCACTTTCAAGAGAAACGGCATCAAGAAACGGCCAGCTGGAGCCTCAAATCATGTGACATATAAATCAACATGATAATCATCCAAATAAGAAAAGGTTGCTATATCCAGGCTAGAGAACCACGATCATTTGCCACTTGAGGCCGACCTCTTGTTGGGGTTGGCGGTCTGTTGGCATTCAGCTCCTGACAGCAAAGGAAAATTACCATAAGAAAGTTGTTCTCTAATAAGTTGAGCATATATGCTTTGACTTAAAAAGTTCGCGTTTGTTTTTAGATAAACCCCTCAAATCATGTGCATTTGTGTATCTACCCCCCAAATCTAAATATTTGCAACACCACCCCCACATCATCAACTTTGGGAAAAGATACCCCAAAATCAACAAATCAACTGTGATAGGCTAATTTGTAACTGCAAATTTAAAATATTTATGTAATAGTCAAATTTTACTACCCATCCCAACAAAGTCGATGCTCTGCTGATTTGGGGAAGTTAACGATTTGGGGGGCGTTTTGAAATTACTGAGATTTGGCAGGTAGGTAGTACGCATGATTTAAGTGTTATATATACAAAAAAACCCTAAATTTTCTAAGCAAGCAAGAGAATCACCTGCATCCATGTGTCATCCATGTGACGCTCAGGTGATGTTTCAGGTGAACTAATGGCTGGTGGTAAAGGATGAATTAGTTTTGGAACAACAACAAGGTCTCTTCCCAAAACTAAAATAGCACCTGCATTATTTGCAGTACCTATATGCAAAGCCACAGAATAAGTGAAAAAGAACTGAAAGATCATCACCTGTTTCAAAAAATAAGATAAGCGTACCGCAATAATTAGTTGCAGAGAAGAGAGTTATTAGATGTCCTTGAGCAAACCGTTCAAACCCATCCATCACACATTCATGCGCACGTACTATCAACTGGAGGTCATTGTTATTGCAGAACTCCATGACTCGGTCAGGCTGCATTACAACAAACAAACTGAGGAGGCCATCCACTGATGTTCAAATAAAAAATGATAACATTGTATGAGATATTGAACAGTTGCCATAGGCACCATGAATAGCTCAGGAAATGCAGAAATAGCAGGAGCAGGGAAGGAAATATGAAAGTAGACAAGTGAATAGCTCAAAGTCACTGTAAGTTGATCAGACAATCTCAATCCATAGATGGTCTTGATCACAAACAATTTCTTGTCTGTTAAAAGAGTTCAATTGTGCAAGATAGATTACTAAAAAGTTGTCAGATGAGTACACACTACACAAGAAATAATTCCTCAAACCAGAATATTTGTTTTCTCATTCTGATGGATTAACAACCATATGAAGCAAGCTATTAGTCATCCTCATAAAAGAACAATTAATAAATGCTTTTACCTTATGAATCTTCGGGCAAGCTACAATAAACATCCATTGATGGCCCACATCTAGTAAACATCATGCATAGTCTAAGATAGTAGATCCTTACAAGCTGTAGAAGCATTTCAGATTTCAGCAATATAAGTCTTGGGCGTTTCTGGGCATAAGACATGACGTGGGGTGCCCAAGCGCCTAAGCAGCTCTAATCTTTTAAGGTGGAGAGCCAGATGAGAAGAAGAGAGGAGAAAGAGAAAGAAAGGAAGAAGAAAGAATGGATTTCTGTTTGTTTTAATTCTATGAACAATGTCACCTTCTAATAATGAACAACAGAGACTGCCATCCTTCCTCTGATTATGATGAAGTTGCAGACTTGCAGTTTGCATATTCCACACTTGTCGTTAATTCTAATCTCTTATAGATTCCACATTTGTCCACCTTTACCATGAACAATGTCACCTGATGCAATTTGATACCTCAGTCCCTTATCCCATTGCAACCAGCGCCCAGAATTCGCAGTCCAGCCCTTATCTCACATGTTTGTAACCTCTCTGTGCAAAATTATTTCAAGCCTTTGATCAAGAATGAGAGATGAAATCAAGCATCCAATCCAACAATGAAAATTTCCATTCAGACCCTTTAACTGGCCCATAAATGGGCTATACTATTCCTCTAGGCGTCATCAATTTTCTCCTCAAGACAGGTATGTGATAGTGGATCGAAGTGCCACAATAATCATTTTGATTGTGGCATAATTCCTAGAGTATTAGTCAGCTTCTTTATAAAATGAGTACATTGTATCAATCATAAGACAGAAAATGGAGGTTTTGGCATTATAGACTGTATACTGATTTCACTCCTTCACTTAATTGTTAAAACACAATCGGGCCTATATCTCACCCAAACTAAATTGGTGAATGTCTTCCCCATTGTTCTAAGCTCCCCTTGTGGTTTCCTACAATTTAACAAACATATCCATTCTATTGAATATACATGAAAAGTCTGATAAGAGGAAATACCAATAAATAAATAAATAAACATACACACAAATAGCATAACATAGAAGAGAAGGGAGAAAAAGGGGGAAAAGGACTGACCCCGAAGGTAACCAGGCCTGGTCCTCTCGCATTTGGTCTTAAACCTTCAACACTGTCATTCTCTGTTGGATCAGACCTGCACAAAGAAGAATAACAAAAGGATCCTGTGACTAATTAATCAGACAGAAGTACAGAATTGCCAGGAAGTGCTATAGTTACTAAATGTACTCACCATAATAGATCCATAAGAACAACTGAGCCTGCTTCCATCGTAATTGGGCGTTGTAGGTTCTCTATTTGCTCTATATGATTTATAGACCGACCAATACCTCCATGCATGCAAATGATTTTCTTTTCAATTAGTGCGGCCAAAGGAAGCCAATTAAATAGTCGATTTATACGATGCCAAGCCCAGATTCCATCTCGCTCTCCCTGTTCGTGAATGCAGAATATTAACAAGTTGCAGTGAATGGAAAAGGAACATAACCACAATGGACTAGTTATCTACCATTCGCTCTATGCATTCAATCCGGAAGCCGAATAAGGCATTGATATCTGCTGCCTCGTGGTTTCCGCGAATTAGATGTACATTATGAGGATATTCAACCTGATAAACAGAATATAAAGCAGTTAGTTTATTAGCACACTGCCTGACTAGGTGAGAAATTTATCGATATTTTGTGAAGAAGTATGCATGCATAAATAGTACCTTCAGTGCAAGAAGAAGAGAGATGGTTTCCAGACTGTGCTGACCCCGATCAACATAATCGCCTAAAAATAGATAGTCGATATAACTGAAATACAGAATCAATTCAGAATAGGATTAGCAAAGTACGAATAAGCAAGATACATTAATCGAGATACAAGAATGATCAACAACTCTTTAAGGGTCATATGTCAAGTCACTGATATTTTGTTCATGATGTTTTCAATGAATTTAGCATGAAAATCCTACTTTCCACACATGAAGTAGGAGTTGAATACAACTCCAAAGCTGAGGTTTCTGACAATCGTTAAAACTAAGAATTGCATGAAATAATAATAAGAAATAACTTCCCTCCTACATAAGTTATTTCTGGTTCCTATTTTTACAATTGTACCAATCAATGTAGAAAAAAGATCTTGCAAAACCATTGGCGTCAATCAAAATGCCTACAAAAAATGAATTACAGATGCTCCATACTAGCCAGAGTAAACTGTGCAATTCCTTTGCTTTTTCAAAAATGCAACAAGAATTCAAATACACACAAAAGATACTAAAAACTATAATATACGTGCAGACCATTTTTTTTGTGCCAAAGACACACATGTACACTAACCATAATAAACCAACAATAAAACCCTTCATAGAAGAGGATAGTAGATATTGTAAATAAATCCAAACTAAGATTAGAGCTATAAATTTTCAATAGTCATTCTGACAGGGCACAGTATGAGCAGTATTCGTACTTTCCAAGCATATGAAGAATAAATAAATTTAGACCTTTGAGTCATATTCCTTATAATACTTACGCTATGTCCCCAGCTGTTGAAGGAGCACCGTACTCATCAAATAAACGCATGAGATCCCCAAATTGACCGTGTAGATCACCAAATATTTTAACAGGAGCCCTGATTTGCAGGACACTTGGCTCAGTCGAAAATATTCTTTCAGCACTGTCACACAGATCTGCTAATTCGTTGCAATCCAAGAAGAATTGTCTGCGAACAGGGGGCTTCCAACCACGAGGCTTTAAAAGATGTGCAATAACCTAATGGACATTGATTACCAGAAGTATGATATGACCAGACCAAATTTACTAAAGAACAAAATATATATACACCATAAGTTAAAGATATAACAGCCATCTTCTTTTAATCAAACAAGCATCATTTCTCTTCATTTTTCATTGATATTATCAGGAAAAAGGTGAACCTCAGGTTAGCACTTAATGACTGCAGCGACTGTAGTTTACCTGATTAATAAGCGCTTATCAGTACCAAGTCAGCCTTGAAATTTTCCATACTAGATATGGGTGAAACACTATGTTAATATTTCAGCTTTATTTGTCTGTTGAATCCAATAGAATCAAACCTAATTCTCACCTAATCTAAAACCCATAAATATAAAGAGCTAATGTCCCAACAACTGCTCTAGTCTCGATCCTATCTGAAAGTCAAATAGTTTAAATTTCAACAAACAAAAAATAATCTGTTGACCATAACAGATATTATGTGCAAGAAGGTAACTTCCATCTCTTCAAGATAGCAGTATAATCTATAGATGAGTTCTAGCATATAGTATTTGTTACTAAATGATAGAAAGTGATTCCAAACTTAGGTAAGTTAACTTATGCACTCCTTAATATTGACACAAAGGCAGATTGTCCCTCAAATATGCATCACTCCCTTCTCAAAGAAAGACGATGCCAAATCATCCTTCTCGCACTCCTAGGAAGCAATGACAGTATTTCAATATATCAACTCATAGAATACAATCGATTCAGAAAAGGACATAATCAGTCAAGTGTGTATTTTTCATATAATATTTTAAACCTGAAGTTTGATTAATACTGGAAGTCTCGACTAAAAGAAAGCGGCCTTTTCCATATATATGCTGCAAATCATAGTAAATGCTATTTAACACCCCCCATCCCCCCACCCTCATTTGGGAAAAAAAGTTGAAATGACCATTCATTGTTAGCTCGTTGGGGAGTCCCCACCACGACGCGTTGCATCGATCTCACCCCAATGCAATGATAAGTAAGCAAGGGTGGTTTGCTAGGGCGTCCTCCGAAAGCGATGCATTATATCGATGTCACCCTGGTGTAATGACAAGTAAGGGTGTTCTAAGAATCTACAATCCTCTAATAGGGTACCCAATAGTATTAGGCATAGACTAGAACAGTCTAAGAGGGAAAATGGTAGGCGACTTTTATAAGAAAATAGAATTAGATGGAATACAGATACACTTATCGAAAAGATAACGGAATTAGTGGATGGCACAATTAGAAGAAAGATAAATATAATTTGTTTACAAGAAACTAAATGTATAGGTGAAAAATCTAGAGAAATAAAAAAAAACCGGATATAAACTTTGGTACACGGGAAAAGAGAAGAATAGGAATGGAGTGGGAGATAACATACTAAAAGAAATTGTAGATGTAAGAAGAGTTGAAGATAAAATAATACTAATAAAAGTTGTCTTAGGTGTAGAGGTTATTAATATTATTAGTACTTACGCACCACAAATAGGCTTGCCCGAGAGTACTAAAGAGAATTTTAGGATAGATTAGATGAATTAGTACAAAAAATCCCATTTGGAGAAAAATTACTTATAGGAGGGGATCTTAATGGGCATGCTGGTAAGGATAATAACGGATATGAGAGGATACATAGAGGTTTCGGGTATGAAAATAAGAACGATATGAGTAAATAAATTCTAGAGTTTGCAATATCGTATGATTCGATGATAGCAAATAGACTTTTTAAAAACAGGAATGAACACTTAATAATTTTTAAAAGTTGTTTTAATAATAGTCAAATAGACTTTTTTCTTACTAGAATGACGGATAGATTAATATGCAAGGATAGTAAAGTTACATCAGGAGAAAGTTTAAGTACACAACATAGATTTATGGTCTTAGACATATCTATTAAAAAGTGGAGTAGAAAAACTAACATGAACAAAAGACTAAGAACTAAATGATGAAATTTAAAAGGAGAATTTAATACATTTTAAAAATAAAATAACGAAAGAATATATATGAAACATAGATAATGAGACTAATATTATGTAGAATAGCATCTCTTCTTGTATTGGAAAAGTGGCTAAAGATATACTAGGAGAATCTAAAGGTTGTAAATTAGAAAATAAGGAGAGTTGATGGTTAAATGAGAGTGTGTAAAAGGTTATTAGAGAGAAGAAAACTTTATATAAAGAGTAGCAAAAGTGTAGGAGTAGGAAAAACTTAGAAAAATATAAACTAGTAAGGAAGAAAGCAAAAAAGAGTGGATAGTGGAAATAAATACAAGGCTTATGAAAATTTTTATAAGAAATTAGAATCTAAGGAGGGATAGAAAGATATATATAAGCTTGTTAAGATTAGTGAAAGGAAGAGTAGAGATTTGAGTAATATTAGGTATATTAAAAGTGAGGATCAAAGAGTTCTAGTGACCGACGGGGAAATAAAAGAGATGTAAAGGAATTACTTTTATCAATTGTTTAATGATAACCAAATAAGTGAGAAAAATAGAGATTTTAACCATATAGTGAATGATAGAAACTATAGATATAATCGTAAAATTAGGATTAACAAGGTTAAAGATGCTCTAAAGAAAATAAAAAGTGAACACGTCGTAGGACCAGACGATATCCCTATAAAAGTTTGGAAATGTCTTGGAGATATAGGCTTAAGCTGGTTAACTAAACTATTTCATAAGATTATCGAGACAAAAAAAATATCGAATGAGTGGAGGATTAGTATTTTGATACCGATAAATAAGAATAAAGGGGATATACAAAGTTGTTCAAATTATCGAGGTATAAAACTCATGAGCCATACTATGAAACTTTGGGAGAGGGTAATTGAGCAAGGATTAAGAAAAGAGACATATATCTAAAAATCAATTTGGTTTTATGCCTGGGAAGTCAACTATGGAACCTATACGTGTTTTGAGATAGTTGGAGAGATATAGAGAGAAGATAAAGGATTCACATATGTTTTTTATCGATCTAAAAAAACTTATGATAGAGTACCTAGAGAGGTAATGTGGTGGGTGTTAAAAAAGAAACATGTATCTAGTATATATATTGATGTGATTAAAGATATGTATGATAGAGTAACAACTAGAGTAAAAACTAATGAAGGAGAGACTAAACTATTTTCTATTACCATAGGTTTACCCTATGGGTCAGCTTTAAGTCCTTATCTTTTTGTATTAGTTATGGATCAACTTACTAAAGCACATTCAGAATAGAATTCCATGGTGTATGTTATTTGCTGGTGATATAGTATTAGTTGATGAAACTAGAAGAGGCATTATTTCAAAAGTAGAAGATGGTGACAAGCTCGAGTCTAAAGGTTTTAAAATTAGTAGAATAAAAACAGAATATATAGAATGCATTTTTAGTAAAAATAGAAAAGAAAGAGAGTCTATGGTATATATTGATGGTCAAGAAATACCTAAAACTAATTATTTTCGCTATTTAGAATTTATCATTAGGCATGATAGTGAGATAAGAGGATGATATTGTGCATCGAATCAAATCGGATGGTTGAAATGGATGAGTGTTTCGGGAGTCTTATGTGATAGTAGAATACCAATGAAATTAAAGAAAAAATTCTATAGGACGGTTATAAAACTAACTATACTTTATGGGTCAGAATGTTAGGCATTAAAACATAACATGTTAAAAAAATGAGTGTAGCAGAAATGAGAATGTTGCGATGATTTTGTGGATATACATTAAAAGATAGAATAAGAAATGAGTGCATTTGTAGTAAATTAGAGATTGCGCCTATTGAGGATAAAATGAGAGAGAATAGATTAAGATGATTTGGTCATGTACAAAGGAGACCTTAGTGCACTGATTAGGAAAATTAATTATATTAAAGTAAATGAGGCTAGAAGATCTAGAGGTCGACCTAGAATGACTTGATCAGAAGCAATTAAGAAGGATATGAATAAGACTAACGTCACGGAGGAAATGACCCGTAACAGAGTGAAATTGAAAAATAGGATTCATGTAGCCGATCCTAAACATTTGGTACAAAGGCTTGGTTATTGTTGTTGTTGTACCATTCATTTTTAGCCCTCAGCCTAACTTAAAGGGAATAAAATTCAATTTTCTGTTAAAATGATTGCCTTTTTCGTACGACCAGTTTACCCTTAGTTAAATTAATTTAGAAAAAGAAAAGAAAAGAAAAGAAGTGCTGAGCCAAAACTTTCTATTTGTAGGATTCTCGGTGCAATTCAGATCAAACAAAGCATCTGTTCTGGATATGAATAGAGAGGACCCATTAATGTCGGGGTGTGTACCTCTGTTTAAAGAAAAATTCAATTCCTAAAGACCAAAGCTTATCCTTCCACACAAGTGTGACCTTCAAAATCTCATTTCCTAAAAATAGAGAATAGATAACCAACCTTTTTAGGCACACTATTGATGGACATTTGCCTATCCAATAATTTCCTAGCTGCAGTTGCACTCTCAGGAGTACCATAACTCACTCTCCTGCCTTCATTCTCAAACTGGTCAATGGAGAGTTGACGGACCATACCTCCCAAAGCACCCCCTGCCTCTGCAGCCACAACTATCTGCATAAACCATTGGTGATCCATTAAATATTTGTGTAAGCCATTTTAAGGATGAGAACTGGTATGTAAACTTACAACGATAAAAGGATAAACTCAAATCCTCTTCATTATAAAACAGGATCTAAAAAGGTGTAAAACCAGTCCACTGACCGCTCTATGATGTAGCCGGACCCCAGGTGGCATGATACTATTCGACAATGAAGACTCTGGCACTTTAGTTAGTGGTGGGGTCTGTTTCCCACTAGGACTAGCCTCTGCACTGCCATCTCGATCGGGCAATTGTCCAGATTCACCATTCTCTTGTCGGGCCTTAGCAGCAGCTAAAGCAGCACTTATTGCTTCAGCTTCTGCTGCTGAAGCTTCTACCAGGTATTCAACACCTTTACTCAATCTCCTGCATAAAGATGCATCCTAAGTTCCATGTTTGTACATATTTCAATAACTATCACCAAGTAATTAGGTAAGAAAGAACTGGGAACCAAATCGGAAATTTATTCTTCTTAAATCAAAGGCCAGAATTTTAAAAAAATTGACATCTTGAACATCATAATATCATCAAAATGGAATACTACCTTGGTCCCTGAATCATAGCATTTTCACTACTTATATCAGTATACATATCCCCATTGACAGGAGGAGCAACTGGTGTTCCAAGCACAACTGAACCATCAGGAAGCACAACTGAACCATCAGCAACTGCTTCAGCTCCTTGCCTAGTTCGTTCATCAGTGGTGGTGTATCGTCCAGGTGACTTTCCAGGTTCTATGTTGGACGCTGCTGCAGCCGCGGCAGCGTGATTTGCCGCACTTGTTGTTTCAGCAGGATAAACTCAAATCCTCTTCATTATAAAACAGGATCTAAAAAGGTGTAAAACCAGTCCACTGACCGCTCTATGATGTAGCCGGACCCCAGGTGGCATGATACTATTCGACAATGAAGACTCTGGCACTTTAGTTAGTGGTGGGGTCTGTTTCCCACTAGGACTAGCCTCTGCACTGCCATCTCGATCGGGCAATTGTCCAGATTCACCATTCTCTTGTCGGGCCTTAGCAGCAGCTAAAGCAGCACTTATTGCTTCAGCTTCTGCTGCTGAAGCTTCTACCAGGTATTCAACACCTTTACTCAATCTCCTGCATAAAGATGCATCCTAAGTTCCATGTTTGTACATATTTCAATAACTATCACCAAGTAATTAGGTAAGAAAGAACTGGGAACCAAATCGGAAATTTATTCTTCTTAAATCAAAGGCCAGAATTTTAAAAAAATTGACATCTTGAACATCATAATATCATCAAAATGGAATACTACCTTGGTCCCTGAATCATAGCATTTTCACTACTTATATCAGTATACATATCCCCATTGACAGGAGGAGCAACTGGTGTTCCAAGCACAACTGAACCATCAGGAAGCACAACTGAACCATCAGCAACTGCTTCAGCTCCTTGCCTAGTTCGTTCATCAGTGGTGGTGTATCGTCCAGGTGACTTTCCAGGTTCTATGTTGGACGCTGCTGCAGCCGCGGCAGCGTGATTTGCCGCACTTGTTGTTTCAGCAGCAGCCAGATCCTCTGCAACAAGTAGATCGCCGAGAAGCACACCTGTAAAGGAAATAATAGAGATAAATAGAAAACTATTGGATTCCGAATATGTCCTTTATATTCGCCTGACTAAGTATCAGAAGAGATGTCTGTGATAGAATCAGCATGCAAGTAGCAACTAACATTCAAGTTCAACATCTGATAACTCACAGTCACCATTATCATATTTAAATGCATATGAAGAGAAACTTAAAATATTTAGGCCCTCTAACCTAAAACCAATTCATCGAAGATGAATGTATCTTTTAAGAACACCAGACAGAGTTGGATCACTGGATATACAGGTCAAATTGGACCATCTGATCTTGGACCTTATATCTATACTAGTTCATGCAGAGCATTCTTCATTGAGAAAGTCCCATAGGCATCATGATGGATGATTAATTGATTACAAAAGGAGGGGGCTGTAGATAGAGCTTGGGAAAGAAACTCCCTTGAGAGAACACCTCAATTGGAAACTTATTGTTAATTGGCGCTGTTATAGCACATGTGGATCACGAAAAACCCTCCACAATCAAGCAGTTGCTGCATGCATTGCTGACTCATCTTTGACTAATAGCCTGCATTAAGGCGGTTATGCATTTTTAATTCAAAAATCCCCCCATCTAGGAGATTTGATGTTACAACCTAGTAACCTACAACAAGATAAAGAAAGTGTTGCACCTCATAAGCTAACCTCATTTTGTTAGCATTCTTTGATTAGATGTTCCATCATGAACTTTACTAGTTTCTCTCACCAATTGGTATTAGGTAATCTGTGTAACACTTTAAATTGAAAATCCACATCTAACGCAAGAATATGATAAGGATGTGAAAAACAGTACCCTATCTATTCTTGAAGACTTCAAGTATGCTGCATTTGAATGTGTCAGGTCCATGGAAATGCAAACTATGTTAATATTTTAAGAAAACTTCAAAATGTTGCATAATTAAAAACATCAAAAGGTTGCATATTTATGCCTCCAAAAATGCTGAACAATTCTAAAGTTCTATTTTATACTTAACACACATAGATTTGAATAGCATGTGCTATCACATAATTCTGCGGTACAGGCTGACACCATCTTTAACTTCCACTGCTTAGAATCCATCTAGCAGAACGTTATTGCATCTATTGCACGATACAAATTAAACATGTGTCCCCAAAAACTATATGAAGCACCTTCTGCCCCGCAACCTCCCCCGACACACACACAAAAAGAACATTTGGAATATCTAAATATGCTTCATTTCCACACTGTTTCAAGCAAATACAGATAACAATCATCAATACTTCTGCTGTTTAGTATACGCTCCTTTAAATCTCTGCTTAGAAGGAGAGAAATGCTCATATTATGGTCCACTTCATTTAATATCCGCCCACATAAATCTAATATATAATGGTTGTGTATATTACTACTATAGAATGAAAACAATCACATAATTAAAATTTAACTTCTTGTAGTAATAAATCAATTATTTAGCATACTCTTACTCGCACTATAAGTATCAATTCTTATGAGCTTATGTAGAACTTCCTAGTATTTCTTAAAATTCATTTTAAGCATGGATATTCTGGGATATTCTGGCAGATCCACATATTCGGATACAAATACTAATATTTACGTATATGTTAGATATATGTTAGATATCAAATAGGATTCACAGTGGAAAATATTTGAGAATTAGGATTCGAATATCAGGATATCCCCCCTTTGACACCCTTACATCTCCCCTCCAAAAAAACAAGAACTCAAATGAAAAAATTTACTCCACACAGATTCACCCTGAAAAGGAAAAGAATTCTGAAGAAATTGTCACATTTCATGGGGCCATATTCAAATTTCAATGTGCATATGAAATAAGTATCAGTGATGAAAAGGTTGCTGCTCAGATAGCGGGCCTGCAGCAGCCGAGATGATAACAGATTAAAGAGATGTCTTACAGCACCCAACACTCGACAGAAATCATAATACAAATTAACTAGTTTATGTTCCCAGGTTCACGAAATTACGTCAGAACATCTAGCCAGCTCAATAAGGAGAAATGTGAGTGTTCCCAACTTCACATCAATGTTTTAAAAAGCCTCCGCCTATTCCGCCTAGGCGGTACCTAAGCCGTTCGCCTAGCGCCTAGCTCCTAGGCAGCACCTAGGCTACTCACCTAGGTTTTGGAGGCGCCTAGGAGAGCATGGTTTGCTTACGTGAATTACACCCTTTAGACCTTGATCGTGATTACATCCGTTGTAGCCTCCAATCTCCTTCAACCTCCTCTAGTCTCCAACTATGAACACATCCTGTACCTCCTCGGACCTTCAGCAAAACCTCTTTCACCACCATTAAATGAAGAAAGAAATCCACCTAGAAGCCAATCCGGCGCCTAATCTGTCTATAGCATTGGCATTTACTATCAACTATTGTAATTAAAAAATTAAAAAAAAAGGAAAACGCCTAGGCCCCGTCTAGATTCCTGCCTAGGCACCTAGGCTTTAGGCGTCGAGTCCAACCCTTAGGCCGTTTCGCGTTTTCTGTAACCTTGCTTCACATTAAGATGTGCAAAGTTGATGTCAGCGGTCTTACAAGGTTACGGATGCCAGATCAGGCCCGGATTGAAGGGCGAACACAAAGATAGTAGTAAACATGTTATTTATCAGATATTAAATCAGTACTTGAAAATAAATAAAGATGGAAAAAAAGAAAAAACAGTGGTAGCACGATCATTTTGAAACTTCAAACACAGGTAAGTCTGAAAAGATTTGATTCAGAGAGTTCATTTTTACTACACATAGATCTACATGCATCTCCGTTGAATTTGTAGAGAAATAAGATTCTAACTCTTACCACCACGTAGCCCTCCATAAATGAAAATCAAGTCACCAACTGCAGCTGCTGCATGTCTACACCGTCGTGTCAGTTCGACAGAAGCATCACCACCAGCTGCATCAGCGCTGTATCTTCCTGTCCTGGGACTAGTAACCACTGATTTTGTGTCACACCAAACTCCAGCAGCAGTATCCAGTACTAACAAGGAAAATTTAAAAGGAAAGTTATTCTTCTTGCATATACATGAATAGGCACTCAATCAGATATTGTACTATTTCATGCATATTAACTATTTCTATCAATTTTCTTAATTTTGACAAAAAGAGTGAAACTGATGAAGCAACACAACTCCCCGGGGCGGGAAGTGTGTCGCTATCTCAAGCCACTATTTTTCTTATAGATGTTTTTTTAGAAAGCAATGTGTAGTTGATCCTGCATTCCATCATAAGGCAGGTGGAAAAGGTTCCAAACAGTTTCTAATAGATCAGAGAAAAAAACTTCTCACTATCCATTTCAAATTTCCATGTTGCTAGACCGCTCTTTAAGAGCCAGAAAGAAATAATTGATATCTCAGATTCCCAGTTAAACTGAATTTCAATTTTAACGGTAATTATGGCCCACACTATGTCAGATAGCAGGTAAAATCAAATATCCTCTTCCTAATAATCAACTGTTATGTGAAAGCTTATGGTCCCTAAGAACCGTCAACATAGGCATCAGAACATAGGAGAAGCATCAGAACATAAATGCAACCTGCAATGCTCGATGAATCTTCTACCATGCGGCCACCACCAAGAGCCCCTCCAGATACATGAAGGCGTGCATTTACAAAAACCTGAAGCGACTAATTATCTGAATATCATGCACTCAAGTAAGCAGGAAGAAAAGAAAGAAGTTCAGTATTTGTCTCACAGCAGCATGTTGGTATCTAGGAGATGGAGAGACACCAGGAGCAATAGCCCACTCCCAACGACCATCTCTGTGTTTAGCAAGACCATAGGCACTTGCCAGTGGCTACATAAAAAACAGAAAATATCATGTGAATCAGTAAAATGAATTTTATTAGAATTAAAGGGGACTATCAGTAAAATGAATTTTATTAAAATTAAATGGGACTATCTTCATGAAAATATTATACAGGTGAAAATTTGACTGCATACAACACCATTGCCCAAGATATTAGCTCAACAACTTATTTAAGGGGATATTTTGTTTGCTGCAAAAATAAATTACAAAAAAAATGTTGCATGCAACATTTGTTGCAGGGAATTAAGTTCAAATTCGATGTTTGGATATCTACAATTATATAGTAGGAATGTATTTCCAAATCCAAGTTTGGTGTTTGGCTGAAAAACAAATAGGAAAAAGTTTCAAAATTTTAGTCATGCAAGGAAACTTGATAGATGGTTTTCCTACTTGGATTTAAAAGGATTTTTTTTGATGAGATGGAATTCTTTTCATTTTTAACTTTCTTTTCTGAAGCCTCCATCTTTTCCTCTCACCAAATTCACCATAGTATTTATTGCAAGTTGGTTCTACAAAATGCAAGTCTATTTACCTTTCCTAAATACAAAGTTGTAAGCCAAACAATGTAATTACAAATCCAGTTGCTCTATTTACATTGACAACTCCATTTCCATCCAACCAAACAGTCCCTAAGACAAGATACCATATATCATGTACATTTCATAAAGTAGATAAGAAGCAAGGAAATGTATACATCTGTATAATATGTATATGTAGTTCAGGTAACCAATTTCGATAATCTGCATTGCAGGTACTGTTGCATAGCTTGTCTAAATTAGCTTGTAAAATTAGTTAATTTAAAGATTTTTCTTTCAGACAACCAACCCCAAACTTAAGCCCTATTTCACATTATCACCCTTAATTACCAGAGTTCCAGAAAACCGCCCCTATTTACCATTTTGTTAACATAAAACAACCCATGTACTATTCTATCCATTTTTTCATCCAAAAAGTATAATTTGACAGTTTTCCCCTCGCAAGTGTGGCATGCGTGCTGTGGGCCAACATGAAAGCAAAAACCTTGTGATTTAAACCTTTACACTTGATTGTGTTGATTAGGGAACAGTTTTTTTGGTTGTTCAATTATGATATCGTGAATCCCTTGGCTGTAACTTATATGGAATATTTAGTCTTTTTTTGAGATAATGTAGTAACAATCACTATATTGAACTGGATGATACTTTCTGGTCTTGTAATAATGTAATCTTTGATCTTGTGGTTACTCCAATGTTGGCTGAAATTTTTTACAGATACGGTTACTCGAATATGTTGGCAACTCAGAAGCAAGTATTTAATCACAAGTAAATCTGAAATGATGCAAAAAAATTCATCGATGTAAGGAAACTACAATAATTGCTCACATAGCTTAAGACCAATTACATTACTATTGTTATAAAAAAAAGCAAGCTTACACTGTAGTCCTTCACTGGAGACTTAACAAAGGCCAAAAAACTACAAAATCTAAATAAAAAAACTTATTCTCACGCACCAACAATTTTCAACTCAGTGGTATAATAAGTATTTCATTAATGTTAACAGAAAAATTGAATCGAAATGTACATGGGTGATTATATGTTGACGAAATGGTAGTTAGGGGTGGTTCCCTGGAGGGTAAAAAACCCAATTTTAGTTTAGTGTATAGAGTTGACAATAGTATATTCACACATGCATACAGATAGTCAAATAAATAACACACATTTCAAATGCCTCTTAAGAACTGCATCATCAAATACCTTTTTCATGTCCTGTCTTGGTAACTACACTCGAGGGCCTTAAGGTGTCTGGTACAGCAAATTTTACATGACAACAGAGGACAGTTTATACACGAGTTGTCTACATGAAGAGGAACACTAGTTGTTACCTATTAAGTGGCACAGTTAAAGAAAAGCAAGAAATCAGTCAGGATGATTTAACGTCCATATGCTTTCTATCTTTTTCCATTTTTTTCTATGTAAGTGATACCAAACATGAGACACATCAAAATTATGCTGCATGGGTGTCTAAGCGTCATTGTGTCAGCATTTCCAACATGGCGATTTCCAAAAGCAGAGTGTCATGTTCGCACTATACAGTGTAAAACCAAAAACAATCCTAGTAGAATATCATCTTCCATTGTCTGGAGTTCCTTATAGCAAAGAATTGTAAAAGCCCAATTACATAAGATCCTTGAACCCCCAGCTTCAATAACGTTTCTTTGACCAATGCAAATTAAAATATTTATTATAACAATTTCTTAATTTCTTAGACCTCGATCAACCAATATTTCTTTTAAATTTCCTTTTCTTGTCTTTCCATTTTGCCTTTGTTCTTTTTCTAACACATTTCTCTTCCTTCTACAAACCAGTTTCTTTTCCAGCTTTTTTTTTCCTTCCAGTGTCAGTTGACTGATGTCTTACTTATTTTGCGTTTTTTATCATTTGACTATCGAATTATAATTTAACTATATATTAGGAACATATAATAGCCCTCTAGTTTTAAAGGCAACATTCTATGCTGGTAATTTCCTCTACCAAAAAGGCAGGCTGAAGAAGAAAGCTGACATCAAACAGTCACTTACAAAAAATCTAGTCATATAGCAGAGATCATGCTCCATGACCAACTGACCATATTCATTATGATAAACCTTAGCTCTTTTTGATAGGAAAGTAGGTGGTGTAATAATGATGGGGTGATATGTCAAATAGAATGTACTGGAACTACCTGTGTTTTCTAGTTAGATTATTGTGCATTAATTTCCTATAAATGTAAGAAACATACATTATGATGCAACTAGATATAAATTCTATTTCATATACACAAATGTACAAAAATACAAATTATGAACACACCTCCAAATTTGTAACATAGTATATGCATTTATTCAAAGAACATGAGTACTTTACCTACAAAACAAGTATGTATAATAACTGAAGAACAAATTTGTGTACATTAAAGAACAATATACCAAAGAAGATTCTGTAACCCAAGTATTACAACATTATATTGGAAGTAACCATGCATTTCATCTGAGTATGACCAATGGTCTGGTGTAGCATGCTGTCTAATCATTATGAAAGATGCGGCATATCTTTTCCTCTCTAGAAATAGAAAGCACATCACGTTTAAGATTATTAGTACTCAAACAACAACTTGCACATACCACGCTGTTTGCATCTCTCCCTCCACAAAGCAAAAGAAGACCATCAGAACGTGCACTTGCTGTTGCATACCTGTTTAAGAACAAGAAGTTTAATATTGGCTTATGTTTATGGTAAACGACACACAAAGGGAAAAAAACAAAGAAAGAAATGAATGAGACCCTCAAAAATAATGTTTAAAAAGAAAAGCCCACTATTATCAGAGTTGTAATACACTTGTGGCACAAAATGGAGTATGCGACCTTGGATGAAAATCAATATAAAGAGAGGTATGCTTAGTTGGGAGAGGTTTCCATATTGGCGGTACAATTGTGACCTCTGTTAGGCCATTTTTTGACAATTATTCACATATTACACATGTGTACTTAGATAATACATTGAGATCTAAACATATACAAATAAGGATCGATAAAAAATAGTAGCTTCAAGGTTAAATATCTATAAAGCCCAAGTCTGGTTCCTATTTAAAAAATTAAAAGCTCCTTAAACAAAAAACAACATAGTGATAAATCTAATTAAACTAAGTAATCACTGTGCTTTCCCCCTAATAAAAAAGATTGGAAATCCCATATTAACAAAACCCATTAACAAGAAGCACATTAATCCTCCATTCATAAGGTGCATATTTGTTTTCTGAATGAAAAAATGAATGCTGCTGTTTCATACTAAATCTTTTTGATTCACAATCCAGATCATACAAAGACTTGCCAATCCAAATAGGACATTAAACTGGACCCCACTTGAACGTAAATATTATGATCCAATTAAGTGAAATCATGTGGAAGAAAATGAGATGGAATGGAGCTACTGCCTTTGCTGGTGAAGAGCATAACTTAATTTTCCAGCTTGGGCATCAAGGTGGTTAAGATATGATCTCTTGACAGAGAACTTTCTTTGAGCTCACACTCAATTCATTTGGGTTGTGTAAGCACATGGAAAGAGAAGTAGACTAATAGTAGAGTTCTAAACTAAATAGATGAACCCATTCTTTCTTTTGATCCGTTCCATTCAACCTTCTAATGTATGTATTGTACAACTCTGAAGTTAGGATCTGTAATGTCAGTAAGTGTGATCAACTTAAAAGTTTTATTGTCAGAACTCTCATTAAATTCTAATAAAATTGAAGAGGCGTATTGAAGTTAAATTTTGCGAGGAATCTTGAAAAGTATCAATTAACTGCAGAACCTGAATAAAGTAATGACTATAAATTGCCTTGTTCAATGTTTAGTGGTTCTTCGCCCTTTTAGCCTTTGTTCTGTCCACGATCCATTTGCTCACATGAAATTAATAGAACCTTTTATGCAGATTTGAAATTCATAGAAATACAAACTTGATTTACATCCTTTGATAGGACATGCTGAGATGATAAAACTGCTAAAATCATCGTTGAAATTTGTGAGTTGTAAACTACGTAGCTATAAATCTGGTTATTGCTAATACCCAAGGTGAAGCTACCACTCCTGGCAACTCCAGCAAATTCCTTTTTGCCATTTTTTAAACCAGAAAGTGGTAAATTCAAATTTACCGCAGACCTGGAAGACACATATATATAAGAGTCAATACTAACCAAAGTGATGGGTTTGGACCAAGTCTAGGAATTGAAGTTCACGCTAACCGGACAGGCCTTTACTAGTTAATGGTATCTGATTCCATTTCTATCATCTACAAAGGCAGTATGAACAAACACCCTTGTACTAAAGGTCTTATCAGTAAGAATTGCCCATGTCTTTGGATCAAATGAAAAAATCTCCAATATTATCCTATGGAATTTTGCTTCTGACTGCTTTCTCATGGTCTTGTATGATGACAGTTTCACGTGACCAAACTTGATGGAGTCTTTTTTTTAACTTATCTTTAAACAACGCTAGATATCAAAACCAAATTTGTCAAGTTGATAAAATGACACACATTAATATATGGAACTTGCATGATTGTAACTTATTGGAATTTGTTGTATCAGCTATGAAAAATTAGAGTATAAGCAATGTGGACATGCAGGCTTGTTCAAAATATTATTCCATTATTTGATAGAAATAAAGAAGGAATCTTATGATTCAGGATCCAAGTTATCGTAACCAGAATCACTATAACTTTCTGATCTTGACAGCATTCATAGAATTAACCTCACTGATAGACATGATATCGGAAAAATCAGTGGGCCAGGATATGAATTACGACTCAGGATTATGGAAATTGACCATGGCTTACCATTTTGGATGTTACGCTGGGTGGTAATTTTGGAGGGAACAGTATATTGTCTGTTGACAGATTAGATTGATTTATTAAGTTAGCATAATTAATTAACACCTCCAACCTTAATGCCGTGTGAAAGTACAAATACTGGCACGCATGTAAGAGGAGTGCTAATATTGCTTTTCACATTGTTCATATGAAAACTATAAATTGAGCATTGGGCTGATAAACTAGCAAGATCATAGGGCCAGGTGAAAGTAAAGGGTGGAAAGTCAAAGGCCAGGTGGAGTGAAGGGTGACAAGTTAAATATAATATGCGTGCATTGGGAAGAAAGAAGAAGGGGGTGGGGGTGTGCACGCACGTGTATGCGTGTGTGTGTTTCTTCTATTTTTTGAACCAGGTTATCTATCTATTCAAGGGAAGTGCGGCAAGTTAAATACAATGTGTATGTTTTTTTTTTCGGTTTGGCGGGGGGGGGGGGGGGGGGCATGTATGCATGTGTGCATTTCCGTTTACGTTTAGAAGCAGGTTATCTTTCTATCCAAGGCCTTTGACATGGTCCATGTCTGGTGGAACATCAGATATTGGCATGCAATCCCTAAGCTTGACCTTTGTGTAAAGTGGCCATGTTTCGGATGGAAGATTAGGTTCAAACTATGAGATGATATCATAAGACCCTCAGATAAGAATCCTCGTATTGTTACAGGCTATCTCACTCATGTAAACAAATATATATATAATGAAAAAAATCTTATCCTGGGAGAGAGAATATAATAATTTTTTATCAATCAGACAACATAATTATCTACAGAACAGGTTGACAAAGAAATACTGTAACTCTATAAAAGACTAAACAACATAGGTTAGGCAGCTAACTGGCATTGTTGGACACACATGTTAATGGACAGAGAACGAAACTAGCCAAGAACACTCACATGCATGGAGGAGGGCCTTCACCTTCAGGTTCCAACTTTCTCCACTCATATGGCTTCGCAGCAGTATCTAGAGCCCAGACATCAGCTAAAGGCCGCTTCCCTAAAAGTAAAATTCAATCTTACATTGTTAAAAACATATCAAGGAAAGCTAACATGTAAGTAATGATTGTTATGTATGTGGTGATGCACATTCATTTGTGGAGACACAGTAACTGTACCATCATTTCCACCAATCGTTAATAGAAATCTCTGACCCACTAAAGCCATCACATGACCATATCGAGGTCCAGGACCAGGTCCTTGAACAACCACCCTTCAGTCATGAATTCAGTAACTCAGCTTTAATAGGTGAAAACTTTAACATACTTAGAACTCACAAAATCACAAAGATGTAACCAAAACCTGTGCCATCGCGGTTTCTGCTGAGTTAAGTCTAGAACATGGAGGTCCTCCGCAGACAATCCAGCTGGTCCAATTCCACCCTAAATTGCACAGAGGTAAAGAGCAACAATTATGCAATGCCATCGTGGTCTTTCAGAAAGTACCTATAGGACTAGGTATCCTATATAACCGAACACATTACTAGAAGGCCAACTAATAATTCCGTAAAGTACCTGAATTACTACCATCGTTCCCACAGCTGTAGCAACATGAGCAGCTCTCGGTGAAGGAGGCTCTCCAAGAGGAGTGAGCCTGAAATCATCATGCAAGAACAAAATCTTTACTTGCTAGTTGCTACCAGTACATTCTATCACCAGTTAATAAAAAGTAATAAGATTATAGTTAACAGGGCAAAGAGGACTAGAGGAAGGCTTTAAAGAACTTGGTTTGCAGCAATTATATATTTTAACTTAATGGAGGAGATTGACCCCTATAATAAAACTGAATGGAACTGAATGGAAGGATAACATTACTATAGCTGTCAATAAAAAAATTTGGGACAGAGGCTTCGTCATTGTTGTCGCTTGTAGTAAGATTAAAGAGCTTACCTCGACCACTTGTTCGATAGCACATCATAACAATGAACATCAGCCGTAGCTCCGGCTAGACCTGCAAAGTTCCCAACTTTCTTGCTTCAATTCAAATATCTAGGGTTTCCATCATCACATCAAAAGGCCATTAGTGTTTCAATAACTCACGGATGCCAGCACTCCAGCCGGCGAAGGCCGGAGCAGCGGCCGCATTATTCCCTCAAGAGCAGTGGCCCCACCGAATGCACAGCGGTGGCCCAACGTTACCCCGGCTTCCCTCCTCTCTACATCACGCACCCGCCTGTCCAGCGCTTGTGCCCGCACCTCGACCCCTCGAAAACGTCCTCCTTCTTTCTCGATCACCGCCGCTCTCACACGAGCTACGCTCCGGCGCCGGACGCGGCCCAGAGGAGAAGCGCGGTCGGCGGCCGGCTGCGCCTGCGGGCCATCCTGCCCACCTGCCCGGCCGGGTCTCCGCGGCGGGATCGCCGTGGTGCCGTTTTTGTTGCTGCTCGGCGGAGGCCCGCGCGGGTAGGCCAGGGAGTGGGATACGGATTCGCCGAAGACATCGGAGGCAGGTCGACGTCATGGATGCAAGAGCATCGGAGCCGAAGACCTAGGGTTGCTTCAGCTCTGCTCCGGCGCTCCGCCGGTCAACATAAGGCCGACAGTCACCGCCGCTCCGACCCCGCGTGCTGACGTGTCGCGCATCGGAAGGCAAATCGATGGAAATTGCATGGCATTGACTCAAATATGAGAGAATTCTCGAAATTTTTTCTTCTTTTTTTTCCCCCCCTTTCTCTCTCCCCCCCCATTTTTTTTATTTCGTCCTCTCTCTCGACGAAGAAAGGAGGAGGCAAAGGAAATCGGGGGGCGGCGGGGGGGGAGAAAACGATAACCGCGCGTCCTGCCTGTTTGCCTGAACTAGGGCGACATGCGGATCTAACGCTTCCGCTTGATCTTTTCGCTGGGATTGTCAGCAGACAGTGTAGGGGCCCGAAATGCAATGGAGTTGCTCATGAAAGACTCGCAGGTAAGATCTTTGTTTGAACAAATTTTCACCGTAGATCCAAACTAATTTTTTATTACTAAAATCGACCGATTTTTTTTAATTATCAAAATCAACCCGTTTTATACCACGTAGGCATAATCCAGTTTCCTAATTAGTCGGGGTTGCCAACCTCGACTGTTTAGGAGTTGTTAAACCGGGTTTTAAGGCTTCTAATCGGGGTTTAACAACTCCTAAACAGTCGGGTTGACAACCCCGACTAATTAGGAAACTGGATTAAACCTACGTGGCATAAAACGGGTCGATTTTGATAATTAAAAAAAAATCGGTCGATTTTGGTAATTAAAATTCCGTTTGGGTGTACAATGAAAATTTATTCTCTTTGTTTCTTGAAAATTTTATTTCTAAGTCCCTGATAGTTTGATGTATTCTTTTCATCGCCTTCTGTACTCTTTAATATTTTGGAGGGCTTTTATTTAAAACATTGGTCCTCGAACAAGCAGAGATTTAAAACTTACAAGTGATAAAATAAACTAAAAGAAATAAAAGATATATTACATATAATTTCAGCTAACAGGAGTTTGGTGTCTCTTTAAATTTTCCAATCGTTATGTGGCTGAAATAGCACACATTCAGAATACTACAGTCTAATTCATCAGTATTATAAAAAATATATTATCGTCTGAAAATGAAATTAATGGAGCTCAAATGATTCAATGGAGTCCATGAAGGATATGTGTTGTAGATGGTTAAAATATGCTCTACTTTGGATCAATGCGCAGTCTAGTCTGAATGAATGCTCATAGGCTATACACTTCATGTGCGTCTAAGCACAAGCCTATGAGAAAACTTACCTAAATAATAGCGAAGTTCGTTAGAACGATCTTCGCCTAAAATTGCTCAATGATCTTCACCCAAAGCTGCTAAGCGAGCTTTGCCCAAAGCTGTTCAACGAGCTTCGCCTTCAACTGTTATAGGCGAACCTCGCCATTGATCGTTTCAAGAGTTGTTTTTATGAAAATGATTATCCTCATTATCTCCTAAATTAATGGTCACTTAATCCACATTTAATGGTCACTAACTCTCTTTCTCTTAGCCTATAAGAGGAGATGAGATCATTCATTTTTGGGCACCTGGCACTTGGCAATTTTACACATTTGGTATCCGCACTCTGCATCTTCAAAAGAGTTTCGACAATTGTCAACTAGCAGAAGACTCAACGTTTTTGTCGAACCGTATACATAGTACAAGAACGACTTTATCGACACATGGAAAAGAACCCGGTTAATATAAATTTTTCTAATTTTTATAATTTTTTTGAATTATAATTTGTATTAATTATAATTTAAAGACCCAAAATATGATGGCAACTTTGCTGAGGACTTCCTTATAACTGACGAGAAGATTGTGTCCCAGTCTAATACTAAGGCCTTA